GAATTTTCATAAAGTCGCATATGTGAAATGTAAAAACGTTAATGTATCTGTTTCACACCTTGGACTTCTACATGAAGACAAAGGAACTTTCAGTGTAAATCTGGGATAAGGTTATTGAAAAGCACCAATCACTGAAAAGGTATAAGAAAATTCCCAAGGTATTACAAATCCCCAAAGCACAGTTAAGTCCAATATAAACAAATTTAGAAAATAATGGCACAACTGTGAAACTCTGAAAAACAGGGTGTCCTCAAAAACAGTATCCAGGTGAGAAATGCACAGGGAGGCCACCAATGACCCAAAACACATAGCCAAAGTCACTGGAGTGTCTTAAAAAGAAAAAAGTCAATGTTCTGGCGTGACCCTGTCAAAGACCAGATGGAAAACCAATCAAGAACCTGTAGCAGGAGTTGAAAATGTTCCTATCCAACCTGAGGGAGGTCAAGCAATTTTGTAAAGAAGAATTGGCAAAAAATGCAGTATTCAAATGTGCAGAGCTAGTAGAAACTTATCCAAGAACTATAAAGCCTATCCAGTTACTTCAGAGGCACTTTGCAATTAATGGGCCAATCACTGTACAGCTGTGTTAAAGGAAAACCACTTAATGAAAGCATCATTCACCACCATGCTATCCCACATTATAAATGATTTAAAAATTACATTGGAATACATGACATGTTAGTAGTTCAGGTGGGTAGCTGCGTCAGCATGCGTAGACTGCAAAGGAACAAGTAATAGGTTTATTCCATGCTGAAAAAAAGAAGAAAGAGAACACAACGTTTCGGCCATGGAGCCTTCTTCAGGTGTTATAACAAGGGTAACCATCTTAATATGAGAAAAATGCTAACTACTTTATTAACAGGACACTTCTGTAGAATATAGAGCAAATTGTTATTATTGCTACTTATTTATTTCGTTACTTGCAAGATGCAGTTATAGCCCCATGATAAATATAAAAGATAGAAACGTGACCCTTGAAGGGTCTTCTTGAAGAATGCCCTGAATATCTCTAATTTTGGAGAAACTGACCATCCGATCCATACTAGTGTGTTTTATTTAGGAGAGCAACAATAACTTTAAAATAACTGTTTTGCAAAAACTGTAACAGCAAGCAGACAGTTATTTGGTATGGGCTATGTTGGTGTTTGATAAAACAAATGTAAAAAGTCAAAGCCGAGGTGGTCAAACAACATAACAGATTGACAGATTACCCAGGGAATGTCCTGCATCATTGTCACTCATTTAAAGAGAGTGTTTAAAAGCTGCTTTTCCTGTTCTCTGTCCTAAATGAAGTACACTACAGAAAGTGAAACAGCCCATAGGTGGAATCTATCTGTACCCATTAGAAGTTTGTGTACTTGGACCACAGTTTTAACGACAATCTACTGAAACTAAGATTTTTTTGTCATTCTTCTTTGAGAATTGAATAATAAAAACAATGCTCGAGTATTACAGATGAGTGCATTTGTTTGAACATAACTTTCTTGGACTCAAATTCTGCTTTCTGTATGCTTTTTTTTTTTTGCCTTTCCATGTCTCCACAAGAACAATCATCAAGCCAAAGAGGCAATGTAGCTCCCACGATGGGACACAACAGACAATCATTGACATTGTTAAAAAGATCTGTAAAGTTACAGCTGCTTTGAAGGTGAAGTAACAACAGATCACCTTCCATATAGCATGTAATTTCAAAATTGGGGAACATTTGAATGCAAACTATTTATTCAGCTTTTCTTTAATTCAACACATGATGATGTTTATTCATCACCCTGCAACTCACAACTGGCAAAGCACTGAAGCCAAACATGTGTGAGCCTGGTCAATACCTGGATGGGAGACCTCCTAGGAAAAACTAAGGTTGCTGCTGAAAGAGGTGTTAGTGAGGCCAGTAGGGGGCACTCACCCAGTGGTTTATGTGGGTCCTAATGCTCCTGTATAGTGACGGGGACACTATACTGTAAAAAATTACTTCATTACTCTGCTCTCCTCCCCACTAATAACTGATGTGTGGTGAGTGTTCTGGCACACTATGGCTGCCGTCGCATCATCCAGGTGGGGCTGCACACTGGTGATGGTGGAGGGGAGTCCCCATTACCTGTAAAGTGCTTTGTGTGGAGTGTGCAGAAAGGTGCTAGATTAGTGTAAGCAATTATTACTATTATAATTATTAGTTTCCAGTCTTTGACAGTCTTGCTGTGTATCAGAAATCATAGCAGCATACAAATGCCCTTACATCCCCAGCTGTTACTGATAATTTAAATAGCACTTAAGAGGGGCAAACCATTCGCAGAAAGCAGAGCAGACCAAAAGTGTTTCACAATTCAGAAAGAATCTGAAGCTGTGCCTGCTTGTACACTTTATCTCAGTGTTACAGCACCAAGCCATATAAGCAGCTATATCCATTTTCATCTGTGGGTTTACTGACACTTATCACTTTGTCATTAACCAAGGTTTTCTTTAATTGACAAAAATAATCAATAGATTTATGTTGAGTGACATTTATTTCAATATAAGTAGTCTACAGTAATCATTTAAGAACTTGAAAAAAGCAGCAGGCTCCTCTAGCCCGTGCAATAGTTAGGTAATTGATCCAATGCTTTCAGCCAGTCTAAAAATAAGCCAGTGTACTGTTTTCTGCTGTTTCTGACATGGCTTATTCCACCCTCCCACAACCCTTTGGGTAAATAAGCATCTTCTTTTCTGAGTTTTAACTTGTTGCACTTCCACAGTTTCACTTGTGACCTATAGTTCATGTTTCACTTTTCAAATGTGAAGAAGCCCATTGATCTGACTTTATCAATGCCTTTAACTTGACTCAGGCCATCTTGCAGTCTTCGCTGTTCAAGACTAAAAAAAGGTTCAGTTCATTCAGCCTGTCAGTGTAAAATAATGTCTTAATCACCCGAATTGATCAATTTGTTATTCTCTCAGTTTATTCTAGAACAGCAAAATATTTTCGATTATTTGGTGACCGCATTATACACAATAAACCAAATGTATAGCCTGGTTGTAGTAACAAGATATACCGGGTATATTTCACCGCACAGTTCGATAGGAGAAACGCAAAATAAAGGATAAAATTCATCAGGTCAAAGCAATTCGTTGGCGAGTTAAGATTGTCACCAACTGCATCCCGTAGCCTGGTGCCTTTCCCTCCCTGTAAATGGAAATCCGGTTCAAGGTGTACAGGTGAGAAAGATTTCCCTCCTTTATGCACAGAGCATGGAACCAGGGAAGAGATCAAGAACTTGAAACAGAAGATTTGGATTTGAAAACAACGCAATCCGAGAAGAAGAAAAACATTTTAAAACGATAACTTGTCGAGATTATGTTTTACTGAAAAACGTTTTCCTTGGGTTTTGACTAAAGAATCCATATGACCATAGGCTATAGTAACCGTTATCGCTGCAAATCCACTGTACTGTAGTAAATGTTTACAAAAGGCAATGTGTGTTTACTGAACGATAGTATGAATACAGCCTTAAAATGCAAGTTATACAGTTCATAGAATAACTTCCCCTTAATTAACTAGTTCTTCAGTCTGAATTAGGTCTTTTCTCCGTAGCTAGATGTTCACAGAGTGAGCAACGAAGTATTTTAAATAAAGTAAATCGACATTTTTAATACCTCTCGGGAATTAAAACTACCTGAAAGACCTCCTCACTAGCTTCGTTTAATAGTTTACCTGGGAGCAATAAAGCAGTACTATAGTCAAAACTCCTTCATGTTCGCTTAAAAGTATAGGACAAATGTTTACGTAGTTCTGTGTGATTTTCCAAATTACGTTTATCATTACACTAAAGTATTGTGGTATCCACCGGTACTATGTCCGTAAAACATTTAGAATCGTTGTATATAAGAGCAATTCATATTTAGCCACGCTACACGTCTAAGGACTATCATGATATGCTGACTATACTAAAATTTATACTATAAATTCATTTTTTTACGGGGGAAAATCCGCTTTATTTTATAGTATATATATATATTTTAGCCTTTAAGCAAAACAGACTCGGGAAAGGATATTTGTACCCAAACAGATTGGTGGATTTTGTGTTATTACTGTATGCAGTAAACTATGAGAGTTACTACCTAAAATATGCAAACTGGCTTCGGTGATCTGGAGTGTTTTTATGTATACTGTATATGTGCCTTTTTAGGAAAACTGGTTTTTGAGGTAAAACTGAAGTTTTATAATTGGATTAATCAGTCTTATGTTAATAAAGTTTAACAGAATAGACTGATCAAATTAAAATATTTAGTTTTAAATTTTACGAAAAAAGATAAAACACCGTTTGGTAAAACCATACAATTCTTGAGCGCAGTCAACTGTTCTTTCAATCGCTCCTTTTTTAAATAACTGGTTGGTGCCTCAGGGCCCGACGAGTTACTCGTCAACTCGATAAGAACGAGTTAGGCGGCTTGTGCACAGACCTGGAACAACCTTGCGAGTCTTGATGAATCTCTTTTTACAGCAGGAATGACTCGGATAGGGTGCCTTTCCAGGGGGTTCATAACATGGATGGGTCAGTAATATGACCCGGCATAGCCACATCGGCTAAAACATTACATTTTAGTGATGTGAAATTACATTTCACAGGAAAGAAGCAACGATTGTAATAAGTAATATATATTTTAAATATCGCATTATCCACAGTTTTTCATGTGTTTTAATTCTAACAGAGCTACCATTTAAAAGAAACATTAATAATAACGTTAAATCCGATACTGATCTCCCTGGTACTAAATTATACGGAAACGGTTCTCTCACTGGCGCCGGACTTACCTGCATTAAGCACTACGCCCATTCACCATGACAGAACCCCCTTGTCCTTATCCGCCACATAATGCATGGTGAACAGCATACGAACATGAAGACTCTGTATTACACCTGAGGTTAAAACCTCAGCCCAGAGGGAAAACACATAGAAGTGCTGCTATCACCTGCCCAGGACGAAGTGTTCAGGTGATCTGCAGTACCGTAACACACACCGCCTTACCTCGGAGCAGTCGGATAGCGTTGATCAAAGTTTCTCTGCTATCGTTTCTCGTTTCGTCAAGCATAGCATCCAAACGGATGAATTTGTCGAATATGCCCCCCCAACTATCACTTATTTTACGTTAGTAATCTTTGCCGTAAGATCCGCTGGAGCTTAATCAAAGTTGAAAAGGCCTTCTCCCCCGCCAATCCCTCCCCTCTGTCTCGGTTAGCTGGATACTAAAGACAGGAACTTTGTACAAATTCCGCCCAAACCGCAAGAAGGGAACTCTTTTAACACACCCGTTGAAGTGCAGGCCGCCTTCCCCCGGGTCTTAGAGCTCACCTTCAGCAGTGGAATTTCTTTTTATCTTTGCAGTTGTATTGAAAGTTAATTACACTGTGCTTAGTTTGAGAACTAATTTTGATTAAAATGATTTTTACTTGTTTTGTATTACAACAAAATGGAACATGATTGGAAGGAGGTTAATACTTTTGAAAGGCACAATTATTGTCCCTGCTGTATTGTTGGGTTAAATAAAGTCTAACCAGCTTCAACAACGTGACTGAGCAGCATGCTCCAAACTCTCACAAACATTTGTGTAAAGAAGTGTCTTCTATTCTCAGATGCACTTCCCACTAATTTCCACTCAGTTTGTTTCACTGTTGATTCTGAAGAAATGTGCAGAAATGCGCTCTGTCAGTGCCTTTGAGGATTCTGAATCCTTGAATCAGGTCCCCTAGTAGCTTATCAAGACTAAAAAGATTGTGTTGTTTTATCCTGTCAGTATAGCATATTTATTGGAGCCTAGCTGCTGTTCTGTAGACTGCATTATTATTATTATTATTATTATTATTATCTTTTTTGTTTGTGGTGATCAACATTGAACACAGTTTTCTAAAACAGGTCTTTATATCAATATGAACATCTGTCTTTTTCTTAAGTAACATCTTCAAAAACATTTTATATTTATATTTTGTTTTCACTGCTTGCGTGCAATACTCAGCACTGGTCTACATTACATATCATCAGGTGGGTAGCTGCGTCAGCATGCGTAGGCTGCAAAGGAACAAGTAATAGGTTTATTCCATGCTGAAAAAAAGAAGAAAGAGAACACAACATTT